TAAGCATTGTTATCATTTAGTGTTAAATATTAGACCATCATACTTTTTCAGAGTGAGGGTTTCATAACGACTGAATGACAACCTAGCATAGTATCTTAACAATTGCCTAACAATTGTTCTTCTATAATCCGAAATAAATCTTGGAATGACTTGTTACTTCTATGAAGGATTTTTCTTAAGGGCTGCTACACACACGAAAGATGGAAGAGATAATGCAATCTTGGTATTGCCACAGCAAAGTAACTATATTCTAATAGCAATCCAAGGGATAATAGGGGTCATCTGGTCTAATCTCATTGTTAAATGGGGAGACAGGCTTAGAAAGGGTAAGCTGCTTGTTCAAAGCTACAACAGTAGAAATTTCTTTCGGACATATTCCATTTCTCAACATAGTTTTAATCACAAAGACAGACTCCCTTACAAGATATGTTATCAAAGATAGAGTAAATAATCTAAGATGGGATTCTAATCATAGTATCTGTCTGTTTGTCTCTTTCTTTTTCATATATTCCCCCAAATACCATTCCTTTAGAGAGGGATGTCTACTCTCTGATCCAAAAGGAATAGGAAATTTTGTTCCTAAAATTCTTCAGTGGAAAGTCTGTATTGGTAGCCAGCACTAATATTATCAATCCATCAATGAATAAATAGCTATTTTGATGTACCTAAATACATAAGAATATAAAGTAGCACCAACAGTAAGTGAGATGTTCTGGGGAAGGAATACCGATATTTTTGGGTACTCTGTATGTTCCAGAACCTTGCTAAGAGCTTTTCAAATTATGTGATTTATTTTAACTATAATCCTCCTCTAAGGTAGGTACTTTTTTACAGATAAAGACACTGGGACCCAGAGAAGGGAAGAAAATTGCTTAATGTTACTCCATTATTATGTGGCAGATGTTTCAATCTCAGGCCACCTGTCTTGAACTCTTTGTTTACCTATATGTACAACACATATGTAGAAGGATATATGTTCAAAGGAGCATGCACAGTAAGTGATGGGCATTATAGATCATGACTGAAAGGAGAATTCAGAGGAGAAACTATTGGGTATTCCTGGAATGAATCCGTGATGAATTCCGCCAGATTAGAGTGCTTGGCTACCATGTTTCCATGAGAAAGTGGATGAGCCAAGTCTCAAGGAATGGGTAGGTTTTGATAGGCAAATATGATAGGGAAAAACAATTTTACTTTGGGCAAATAAATTCCAGCAGAGGAAGCATAGTAAAGAGACATGAGTAGATCACCTTGGCTAGAAAGGAAGATTCCCTTTGGGAAGGCATGACACAAGGCTAGAAAGGAAGCTTAGGTTTGGACTCTAAAGAATTCAGAGTCAGGGTAAAGGGTTTGGATGTAATACTTTGGATGAGAGCGGACTATAGAAAGTTAGTTGGAGCTCACTCAGGGAACCAGAGAAAGGAGAGTATCCCAGATTTTACTATGGCAGCACAGGTACGAGGCGGTGTTGGTAGTGATGCAATGAAAACAGACTTAAAGGAATTTACAGGGTAAAATAGGCACTGTTCCAAGGAGATGTGGGGACTGAATGCAAATCAATCCAGATATTATTCCCTGGCGGGACCTGGTATAATAAAGGTTGTCAAATTGTTTGCTTCATCTGTTGACTATTCAATTGTTGAATGCCTACTAGGTACTTGATGCTATTCTGTTCCCTGCAGATACAGCAAGTAAGCCAGACAGCCCCATTCTGTGCTGCTAGGGAACTTACATTCTAGTGGATGCTCTGGGGGCTATGGCTTGTGGTGGGGAGGGACTCATGAGTGAGGACTGTTTTTATTAGAAGATAGTGAGTTGGAGGTGAGATTACGGCAGCCCATGTTAAAGTGTAGAGCAACGATAAAGAATAATGTCATCGTAGGGAGACGAGGGTTAGAAGGAAGAAATTAGAAAGCCCAGTGGAAGTAATCAGGTACCAAATCACTTCCAAATCACAAACCACTGCCTTTACATTCCCCATGTACGCACCCCCTCAGTCTGCTTTTATCATTCGATTTATCCCATGCCCTGAACCCACATTTCTTTAGTGTTCTTTTGGTATCGCTAAATTTTTACCTATCAGGGAAACAAGATTTGAATAATTCTATTCGTTTGCTGCACAGGAAGATATCTGACTATGTCTGATTGCTTCAGGAGTGCTATGAAATATTTTTATTCCATGAAATTCTTGAGGGCAGTGCTTCTCAAAATTTAATGTGCACACAAATCACCTGAGGATCATGTTAAAATGCAGCTTCTGATTTTGTGTACCTGGGATGAAGCCTGCAATTCTGCATTTCTAAGCACCCAGGTGCTGCTACTCATGGTCCCTCAGAGCTAACTTTGAAGCCTTGGCATCATGATGTTATTATATCTCACATTGCCGTCTGTCAATGATGATACTGAAATCAACTGTTTTTATCTTGTAGGTATAAACATATTAAAGATGTGTAAGCATCTTCTGCGGGGAAGAAAAGGCATGTAAAATTTTTGCTAGGTAGCCAAGAGTACGGATCAATGGCCAAAGAAAAGGGCATCTTGTGGGAAAAGACTTCCAGATTGGGTGGTCCAAAGAAGTTTCATAGAAAAGGAGGATTTTGAGTTGGTAAGGATTACAGTAGGCAAAGAAGAAGAGAAAACAAAAATCAGGGTTAGAAAATAACGTCAGTGCCAGATTATTTAGATTATTGTGGATTTGTAACACTCTGACATCTTAATGCAAAGCCCCTCTCATTACTGTAATCTCTCAGATTTTTATTTGTCTTTGTTGTTTTGATTTCACGTGAGCCTCCGATTGTTAAGTTTCAAGAAAAAATATATTGAGATTGATTGGATTTCATTAAGTTTAAGGATTTTGGGGAGTGTCGATGACATTTCTTTAATGTTGTCTTCTTGTCGCTGTTTGTCCATTTATTACAGTCATTGTGCTCCTGAAAAATTTTTAAAGTCTTCTGGGAATATTTTTTTCCTTGGGGCAGTTCTTAACTAAAGAGCATTCTTCCCCAAGTAAGAGTTACTAAAATATCATTAACAAGAGTAAGCAAAAAATACATATAATACCTAAGAAAAAAATCTCTCTCTTCATCAACTTGTACCCCAAAGCATCATAACTACTATAGTTGATTTCCCCATTATATTTTCTAATTAATTACTGCTGATACATAGAAAGAGCTCCTGAAGTTTGAATATATCACATGCACATTCTTTTCACATAAAATAAGTTCACTGAAACTTGTTATTATCAAATGATTCTTTTGAGTTTTTCACGTAAATAATATCATCTCAGGATCATGATAATAATTTTCTCATTTTTACTCCATTTATTGTCCTACCTTACTTACTGCATTGGCCAGAACTTCAAAAAAGGCTTAATCATAATGTTTAATGGGAACACCTTTGTTTTGTCTTCTGTGATTTTATACCCAGATCAATTATTATTGAATCATTCTTTTATTTATCTTCTCTATCAAAACGAATTTGATATTTGTGTTTATTTTTGATTAAAAATAATAATCCCAGATTACCATTAGTCCCTAATCACTCAACCTTTCAAGTCTCAAGTTCTTCTAGCTTTGCTCCCTCTCTTGAATTGTTCAAGACAAACATGTGGGTGGCACTTTATTTTGAGTCCTTAGATTTCTGAGATTTCTGAAAACGGTTTAGGTTAAAATTATTGGTTACAATTTCTTCCTATAAAAATCTTTAGACAGTTGCTCCATTGATTCTCCCCTTTACAGAAGTCTGAGGTTAAGGCTGAGTTTGTTCTTGTGTAGGATAATAGTTTTCCTCCCTGACTGAATGTCAGAGAGATTCAGTGCTAGTTCTCTCTGGTCTCAAACCAAAACATGTCCAGAAAGGGACACATTAGCTCAGCTGTGGTTAGATCCTCAGGACTTGGGCATTTCTGTGGAGCTGGGGGTGGTGATACATTGCCTTATCCAGACAGCTCCTGCTTTCCCAATGCATGCTTGAATGGAGGCATGTTTATAGAAACAGATGGGGAGCTAAAAGTCTGCCTGGTGGTGGGCAAGATAAAGGGAAAAGACACAATCTGAACTGTGCCTTGAGATAGGATGAGTTTGCCAGGCCATGCAATGGTAGATGGGAACAATTCAGTCAAAGAACCAGCACCCATTCACAGCACAGACATAGAAAAGGAAGCAATTTCACATAGGAAAACCACAGAGTGCGTGGAGGGCATAGCTGGAGCTGAGGCTGGCAGGTAGGATGGGGCCAGTTGGAGAAACAGCCAAACTAAAATGGATGTTATTCTGAAGGCAATCACCATTCAAACCAATGAGGAATCATCCCAGGTAAAAAAGTGAAAAAGCATCAACTGACTTGTTTTCGGACTTACCACGCTGGTGGCCAGCGTGGAATTTGAGGGTGGGCCACTTGGGAGCCCAGAAGAGAGATGAAGATCTGGCGTTGGACAATGGAAATGGATCAGGGACAGATGGAAAACATGTTTTAGGGTTTGAACCAACAAGAGATGCAAGGGAGGTAGAGGCAGAGAGAGACAGGGGAGCCAAGATGACTGCTGGTTTCCCAGAGTGTAGAGAAGCCATCCAGGATGGAGCTGTCAACAGGGGTCTAGAGGTTGGGAGAGAGCTCTGGGCTGGTGAAATAGAACGGGGCGTGCACCAGTGGGAGACAGGGTGGTTACTCAGAGAGGGACAACGCAAGGTGAAGCAAGAGCTGCAAGTTGAGGCTAAACACCAAGAAGAGATTGGACCGGTCAAGCACTGAACATGCTGTAAGATTTGCAAGTGGAGAAGTGAGTAGCCACTGCTTGAGGAGTCCCTGCTGATTTTGAGAGAAGCCAAGTAACTGATTTTGAGAGAAATTAGGAAGGAGGCCTTGTGATCTCCTAGAAACTGGAAGTAAAGGGAAAAGAGAAGTACGCAGGTAGTTGATGTCGAGGCTAAGAGTTTTGCTTACTTGATGGGACTGAGGAATCAAGTCCCCAAATGGATGTTGAGGCTAAGAGTTTTGCTTACCTGGTGGGACTGAGGATTCAAGTCCCCAAATTCAGTTTGGCTTATCCTGGCTCTCCGAGTTATTTTTGGTTTCAGTTCCTTGACTGAACCACAGGACCTGCCTACATTTCCGCTCATTTATCTTTTCTTCCTTTATCTTCCAAATATTTGTTTTTTCTCCAGAAGACTGTTCAGTTGTATTTTAACACCTTCCATCGTAATGATCCTGTTGGATAGAGAGAAAACCATCATTTCAGTGAAATCAGCAACCTAGAACTAGAAGGCATCTTGGATCATTTTGTCTAATGTACTCTCCTGAAATTATAATCCCCCTTTAGCATCCTTAACATATTTCTAGTGATAGTAAATTGCTACTTCAGAAAGAAGCCAATTACTTTGGTTGGACATACCATACTTAACAGCATGTCTGTGTTAGTTCAGCTGGGATGTGTTCAGCTGCGAGTATCAGGTGACTCCAAAATTGTTCAAACGAAGATGAAAATACAGTATTTCATCTGATAAGAAGGGCTGAAGTAGGTAAGTTTCATAGTTTGTGAAGTTAGTGTTTCAACACAATGTCAAAGACCCAGGGTTTCTCAATCTTTTCACTACACTATCCTCAGTGTATCAGCTTTAGTGCCCCTCATTGTCACAAGATGGCTGCCATTATTCCAGGCATCACACACGATCATCAGACACCCAGCAGAAGAAAGAGGCCATATCCTGTTTGATTCTTTTTTGTTAGTGAGGAGACCTTGTCCAAAAGCCCTCAGAAGACTCCCACCTTACTACTGCATAGTGGCAATGAGTGTGGATAACAAGCTGCACACCCTGGGTCTGTAATCTAGCTCTACTCCACACACTTCCCAGGACAAGTATTTTTAGTGTCTCTAGCTCTGAATTTCCTCAGCTGCAAAACTTAGTCATACAACCTACCTCATAAGGGTGGTGTAAGGATTAGTATTAATATACATAAAGTACTGGGAAAAGTGCCTGGCATATAGTAAGTGTTCAGTAAGTGTCCATTATCATGCATTCAACCAACCTAATTGGGCTACATGTCCATCCCTTAATCAGCTACTGGCAAAAGGAAGGAGGTTACCACGATTGGCTTTGAAACTCAGTATTTATCCTCAAAATGGGGGCTAACAATGTGGATCTCTATATGGATATATGAATAAAACCTGGACTCTGTTAACAGGGAAGGGAGAATGGGTAGATGGCTCTTGGGGAGGCCACCAGTACTGTTGACCATACAATGCACAGCTTGCCAATGACTTTCATCCTATTCATTATCAATTTGCCAACCGTGGCGATGTTGGGAGAAGAAAGTGGAGGCAAAGAATATTTTGCTTAACATATACAGTTGACACTCAGACAAAGGTAGAGGTCAGGGGCACTGACACCGTCAGTCAAAAATCCACGTGAAGGGGCACCTGGATGACTCAGTCGGTTAAACGACTGACTCTTGATTTTGGCTCAGGTCATGATTTCACAGGTGGTGAGATCGAGCCCCACATCGGGCTCTGTGGTGACAGCATGGACCCTGCGTGGGATTTCTCTCTCTCCATCTCTCTCTACCTACCTGTTCACCCTCCTCTTTCTCTCTTTCTCAAAATAAATAAACATTTAAAAAATAATCCATGTGTAACTTTCTGACCTCTGCCCCCAAAAAAGTTAATTACTAATAGCCTGCTATTTTCTGGAAGCCTTAATGATAACATACACCACCAATTAATACACATTTTTTGTGTTATATATATTATATACTGTATTCTTACAATAAAGCAAGGTAGATAAAAGAGAATGTTATTAAGAAAATCATAAGGAAGAGAAAATACGTTTATGGTACTGTATTTATCAAAAGAAAATCTGTGTATCAGTGGTGCCCCCAGAGTTCAAACTCAAGTTGTTTAAGAGTCCATGGTACTGGCGATATATTGCTAATATACATATTCTAAGTAAATTCATGCTTGAATCCTCCAAAGTGAAACCTGAAAATATTCTTTAAATACCTAACAATTAGTTGCAGTATAATCTGAAACATCAGAGTAAAAGAACTTCTTTTTCTACATTGATTTGCAAAGGTTTTTCTGCCTACTTTTCTCCCTTGATTTGCACAACAATCAGGTGATGTATGAAGGGATATTATTATTACCATTTGCAGATGATACGGATGCTCGTAGATCTCTAGAAGTCACTTCAGATACAGAGTTCAGAAGTAGCAGATTTCAAACTCCAATTCAGTTCACCCATTTCTTGGTTAGAAGTTTTTCTTCTCAATCACAGTGGCTTGCCTGTAAAATAAAGACATTCTGAAATGTTTTCTTCAGCCATCATTAGCAGGGGCTCGCTCCAATCTTACAGTCAAGAATCAAATACAATGTGCCAAGAATATGGCAGAATATGTGAGCACATATCCAGCCATGACATTCTTAGCATCATTCATTTCCGGAGAAGTGAACGCACACATTTATGTGTTACTATTCTATGGAAGGGTTATCTGGAGTCTTTTATTATTATAAACGTTCTTTCTTCAAATGCCCAGGGTTAATTGCTAATTCCTAATTTTCTTTTTTTCCAAACCAAAATTGGCAATGGGCCATTTGGAAATGTGACTGCAGAGAATATGAAGTGTGAGAAACCTCTTCCCAAAAAGAAATGTTCACTTAGAAAAAAGTTTCATTCCAGAAAGGCACAATTTGGATAAATCTCCGTTAAAAACTGTGTAAAATTGCCAGTTGCTTACATCGATTACTGTTGTAATCAATGGAATGGGATAGTTAGTGATCTTTAAAAAACTTTAATTGCCATATTTTAATAGAAAGTTTTTGACATATTTTATAAGAGCGCTATAATCATTGTTATTTACATCATGCTATACTCAACATTTTTTTTTTTTTTAACTTTTAACGTTTATTTATTATCGAGAGAGAGAGAGACACAGAGCGTGAGCAGGGGAGGGGTAGAGACAGGGGGAGACATAGAATCTGAGGTAGGCTCCAGGTGCTGAGCTGTCAGCACAGAGCCCGACGCGGGGCTCAAACTCACAAATTGCGAGATCGTGACCTGAGCCGAAGTCGGTCGCTTAACTGACTGAGCCACCCAGGCGCCCCTCAACATTTCTGTCAGAGACTCCAGCCAGGGACCCTGCCCTCTGCACCCCACTTCCATGGCGTGGCAGTCGAGAGACCTCCGTGTGATTTCTTGATGTGTCTAGAACCTACTCTTAGGCTTTTCTTTGCACCTACATGCCAAGATCCTGGAAGGAGACTGAGGATCTGCTCTGAATGAAATGAATAGGAGGCCCCAATCTCTTCACTGGCTTTTAAAACAGACAAGCCAACCAACCACTCGCTCTAAACATTTTAGGAGTTAAACAGCCCTGGGAGGGAAATGGAGGTTCATGGGGTAGGGCTCCATTGAGAAACATTTAGGCCCTCCCCCTCCTTTCAATTCTTATCTGGAATCAATGGAATATTACTCCTCCTCTCTCAGCTACACCAGACCTCCTCCCCGCAAGGTCTCGTGTTCTCCATTGTCAGGATATTTTCTCTTGCTCTTCTCTTTCCAGGAGGGAAATCCGGCATCTACTGGTTGTATCAAACAGTATTTTCCCACTTCTTTGCATTTCTAATTCACCTTGTCTAGTGTCTGAATCACAGTATGTATAAACGAAAGATATTGTCAAAAGATTACTTGTCCTGACTTTTCTCCCATCCTTTTCCCAGGTGAAATCATAATTTGGACCAGAGGTCGGCAAACTAAGGCGAGATGGCCAAATCCGGCCACGCCTGTTTGTTACTATTTTTTGTCTAAGGTTGGTTTCACACATGCACTCCACAACAGCGGAGGTGCGCAGTTGCGACAGAAGACCATGTGGTCCACTGGGCTGGAAAGATTAACAGGCCATCCTCTCACTGAGAAACTTTGCCCTGATTTAGGCAACATTCTTTTTTTTTTTTTTAATTTTTTTTTAACGTTTTTTTAAATTTATTTTTGGGACAGAGAGAGACAGAGCATGAACGGGGGAGGGGCAGAGAGAGAGGGAGACCCAGAATCGGAAACAGGCTCCAGGCTCCGAGCCATCAGCCCAGAGCCCGACGCAGGGCTCGAACTCAAGGACCGCGAGATCGTGACCTCGCTGAAGTCGGACGCTTAACCGACTGCGCCACCCAGGCGCCCTTTCAACATTCTTGAAAATACTTCACCTGTACCCAGGGCTTTACTGTTCACGACATTTTTACTTATCTTATTTATCTTGGTCTTCTTGTACCTCGGAAATGCCTATTCTCTCATTTTACAGATGGGAAAATTAGAGAAAGACAAATACCATATGATTTCACTAACATGTTTTTGTTTGTAAAAAACAAAACAAATGAGCAAACGAGCAAAACCAGAAACAGAATCATAAATACAGAGAACAAACTGGTGGTTGCCAGAGGAGAGGGGGTTGGGACGGTGGGCAAAAATCGGTGAAGCGTATTAAGGTGTACAAACTTCCAGTTGCAAAATAAATAAGTCACGGGGATGACAAACACAGCATAGAGAACAGTCATTAATATTGTAATAATATACGGTGAGTCCACTTATTGTGGTGAGCACGGTATAATGTACAGAATGGTCAACACTATGCTGTACGCTTGAATTTAACAGAACATTGCAGGTCAACTATGCATCAATTAAAAAGTAAAATAAAACAAAATTAATAAAAATAAAACCCAAAGTGTTCAGGGACAGAGTTAAAGATGGGATGCAGTCAAGTTGGAAATAACGCAAGTATACCGATAGGCAGTTTCTCTCCTAATCTCTTAATTTAGACACTTAAAGTCCAGTGGGAATTTCCTGTTAAAAAAAAAAAAAAAGAAAACAAGAAAATAAAATTAGAAGGTGACTAACCCAAGATCACAGAGGTGGCACCTGGCAACTTTGGGATTAGCACAAAGTGATCGGTTGGCGCACTAGAGATGACAACATTTGGAAAGGAGAGGGCAACTAATCGGCCATCCAGAGACCTACTTATCCTCCCTCTTCTGTGGTTGAAGAGGGGCCATTTTTGTTTGGTCCTATTCCATCTACTGTGAATGCTTCAGGTGAATTTGCCTGCTCAGTTCTCCTCCCCAAATCTCTCAGGGGGTGGGAGATGTTAAAATGGATGAGACAACCACAGATTAGTTCTTCTTAACTCCGCGCTCACTGGAGTAGGATTAGAAGGCACAGAAATGCCCCCGAGTCCAAGAGCTGCCCAGGATGCACAGGCACCTCAGAGCCCAGCTGCTGCTTTGGATACATTTTGGCACTGGTTGGGCCTGTTGGCTTGGCCTTCTCACTCTGAATTCAGTGCTCTTTTCCACTATATTAAGCAGACTGTTGAATAACGATAGCACAAATGAATGATCATGATTTCATTAGGAAAACACAAAAGAAGAGATGAAATTTTATGCTGGATTCCAAATGTGGCCATCATCAGTTTCTCGCCTCTTTGTAGGTGCAGATTGCTCCTCTCTTCCTGTGGGTGGGAGAGTCTAATTCCTTTCCCCTTGAATCTGGGTGATCTTGGGAGCAAGTCTGAGGTGGGACTTCTGACATTAGGTTATAAGAAGTTGGCAACCTCTACCCTGGGTCTCTTGGAAGGCTCATTCTGAGAAACTTCCTCACAGAGCCTAGCTGCCATGATGTGAGAAATGGAAGCCACATAGAGATGCCACAGACAGGCGTTCTAGTCAAAGTCTCCAGCTCATCTCAGCCAACAACAGCCATGTGTGAGTGCCATCTTGGATGACCAGCCCAGTGGAGCCTAAGCGAGAAATCCTAAGCGAAAAGCACCCAGACAACTCATACGCTTGTGAAAGTTAATACACTGTTTTGTTTTGTGTTTCAAGCCACCACATTTTGGCATAGTTTTATGCAGCTACAGGTAACCAAATAAAAGCTTAAAAACCAAAAGGCAATTCAGTTATAAACAAAAAGATGAACATAGTTTGTGAAGCCAACCTAATCAACAAGTCCATTGTTCAATAAAAATCATACAAAAAATAATTCCCTCAAGTCAGTGAGACAAAACAAAGTTTCAGATTTGGGGGGAACTAGTGGGGGCGAGATGTGTGCAGGTGGGAAGAGGTTCTTACAGCACAATCGTGCTTCAAAGTTGCCAGTTGTTAGCAAGATAAAGTTTCCCCTGTAGATGCTTCAGGCATAAGGATCTTATTCCCAGGGAAAATTAAAGAGGTGCAGAATAGAAATTTCATGGTATCTTCCAGGATAGACCCAGGGATGAAGATTTCTAAGTCTTTGCCCTAGAGAAGAGAAGCCCTGGCTGGAGGAAGGACAAAGGAGTAGAAAAGAGAAAAGGAAATGTTGGAGACACTCCAGGAACACCTGGGTTTCCTTCTGAGGCCGACTTTGTATCCCTGGAAGGTAATCCCATGGGAAGAGGGAAGCAATGTTTTGCTCTTTCGTTGATCCTCATGGGTGCTCTCAGTTGGCTAATAAAATAAAACTGTCTACCTACCTCACAGTGATCTGCTTGCATGCTTTAACATCCCATTGGTGTCTGGATTTTGATGAGTTTGTTTTCCTCGAAGAAAGAAGGGCGGTCATCTTGGGGAGTCAGGGGCACCTGAAAAGGTCTCCCTTCAACTTGAGAGCAAGGAAGTCCCAACACTGGGTTTCTTTTCGAAAGGGGCATGTGTGTGTGTGTGTGTGTGTGTGTGTGTGTGTTTGTGTGTGTATTCAACCACAAGGTCAATCCTCTGGAATAGTAAATTTTAGACCTTCCTTCTCCAACGTCTCCTATACCCCCCCACCCCCCCACCAAGCTTGCTACTTCTATTTTCTCTTTCTTCCTCCCTCTAGTGCTGGGTCTGCCATTCATCCCTCCAAATATTCTCTGAACTCGTCTCTCCCTGACTCTGCACAGAAAAGCTGACTTACAACGTCTTCATCAATAGACTTTCTTGCCCTTCCTTTTCTGGTTGAGTTCCGCCAATGCGGAGCCCCGGAGAATGAGTGAAGGCAGTGACAGAAGTGACATCGTCATGTTTATTCCCTTGGCTTTGTCTCTGCAGTCACTTTGAGCCAGTGGTATCCCTTGCCCGAAGGTCCGAGCTCCTCTCATGACACCCCTCTCTGCAGGACTCTCTCATTTTGGTTTCAGTAACTGCTCCCTCCCCTCCTATCTTGGGCCTAGAAATGGTAACAGCTGTGCTTTTATTGGGTCAGGGTGCTGTACTAACCATTATGGCTTCCCTACAGCTCTGTAAATAGTCTCTTTGTTAAATTTATTAAAATC